CATCTGGCTGCAGTTCTGGATGGAGGGTGCAAGAGGCGCTGTCTTGGGAGAGAGCCGGCGAGTGAGTGGAGGCTTTTTTTTACTCTTGACATCAGAGGATGCGTGGGCACTTTGGGAGGGGCAGGCAAGGCAGGGGCCACAAACTATTGTCCAGTGGGCTGGGCCGCAAATGGCCCCCGGGTCGCATGTTTGAGACCCCTGATCTAAGTTTCATATTTAACAATGATTAGTGAACTGAAATATTTGCATTTCATTTCACACGATAAACAGAAATAATTCTATACAGTTAAACACCCACGTTCCATATGTCAGATAATTAAATGTCTTTTTTGAATACGCTGTCATCCCACCTTGCCAGACAGAGTTGTCATATATATGTTGTATAAATAGCACCCAGTTATCAAAGGTGTCAAGTACAACCCTTCTCCTCTTCTTTATCAGCTCCTAAGAAAAACTAAGATAGGCTTTGTTGGCTCTTATTTACCAGATTGTGGTCCTTCTAGGGACAGTAGTAGCCAAAAGTTTCATCCCCAGATGTTGTCTTGACTACAGCTCCTAACATTCCTATCCAGCATGGCCACTAGACAAGGATGAGGAATGTAGTCCAACAGCAACTGGGTCCAAAAGTTGGAAACTATCACCCTTAGCTGACTCACTTATTCTATGACCGTATCATTGCATTATTATAATGGATCAGCTTCAGATATGTCATTGGCATTAGGCAGATTATAGGAAATTCGCAAAAATGTTTTCACTCTGGACATTTTCTTCCTGTATCCCAAATCCTATTCAATATGGTAACAGTTTTTACTAAATATTTATGTATGTCTAGATTACCATCTTATGTAAAATGAAATGGGCACACCCTACTGCGAATTTCCTTCATGCAAGCCTTGTGGAAATGAATAGGAATGACTGCAGCAGAAACATCCATGTGGATTGTGTTTGTTACCTACTTGATGACCTGAATTCAAAGTACCACACCCCTACTTCTTAGAACTTGCAAAATTTAAAAGACTATAACTCCCAGAATCCCTAATTCACCATACTGCCTTGATGGATTCTGCATGAGGAAGTTCAAAAAAGAAGTTTAAAAGTTTTTTTTAAAACATTAAAATAATAAAATAAAGGATCTGCTTTTCAAAAGAAAAGGCAGTCAAGAGGGTGGACTTCAAGTAGCTTTCTGGATCACAACCAGGAGGGTAAATTTTGCTCTACTACTACAAAACTTGCATCCATCTCCATCTTCATCTAAAGGCACCATTATTGAAAATGTTGCCATTACTGATGAATCTGAATATTGAAGCTTGTTCAGTCTTACTGTTGACTCATAGCAGTGAAAGATAGCATGCTTATACAGAAACAAAAGAGTACTGACTGGAAGGAAAAATTATTTGAGGCACACAAATACTCTGAGCACTGCTAATGTGTGGTATTGCAGTGGTAAATCAAGAAGACATCAATTCTCAGCCCATCATCTAATTACTAGCTAGCACAAACACCACCCAATTGGCATTGTGCCAGTATTTTGATGAACAAGCTGCTTGACATTAAACACTTGGCACTGTAGAGGTGAAAAATAACCATTGCTAACACAAGGCAATTTTCATTGAATAGAAACATTGGGTAAAAACAGGCTTGTACTGGAAACAAAACCCCCAACAAATATGTGTCAAAATATGAGTGAGTCTTTAAAAAAATACTGACAAATCATTGTCACCTTGCTATCAAAACCTTGTCTCAGAAGAGCCATGCTTTAGATTGTTACTCAAAAACTCATCATGTTCGAAACTCAAGTTATTATGTGATCTGGAAATCATAAGAAGTTTTTCTTTATTAGTAAAGTCCTTCTTGGCGGAGGCAGAGGGTACAAGGAGCCTGTCCATTGGGTCTTCTTTGTTTTCCAGTTTCATATAACCTTTACTGTTGCTCCGGTCCAGTCTTGGCCAACTTGGATGTTTTCGTTGTTCAACTTGGACAGTGAGAGTAGAAGGACCTCTGTCTAAATCTAAGGATTTTGAATGAACAGACAAAAGATGCAGAGAGCTGTTGGACCCAAACTGTTTTCTGGCTGCACCAGGTGACAGAAGCTTTCCTGTGCTGGATCCAAGAGCCATTGAAGATTTGGACTGACTAAATGAAGAATCTTGACACAGATTGTTTCTTGGTATCAATGCACTGGCAGGCTTGTAGCTGTCATTGGTGTCAGGCAAGGGGACAGATAAAGAGTCCATGGATAAATTTTTCGGCCTTCCTCTAGTACATGCAGAATCCTCAGTGATGTTGTCTATGCTGGGTTCATCAATGACACAGTTATTAAGTTTAATTACGGGTAGTGTAAACGCATTAATGGAAGATGACACAATAGACTTTGTTTCACACTTCAGTGGGCCACTACTCTTGTCATCTTTTGCCTTCCCGGAATGTGAGTAAAGGCCAAAGACTGAGCCTGAGCGCTCAGTCAACAAAGGTGGGAGCAGGTGACTGATATTTTTGCTGTCACTCACAGAAATGTCATCTTCCTCAGTATTGCCCTCCACCTGGAAGTTGCTTGCAAAGCCTGAAAACGGTGCCACGGTATTTGCAGCCAGCTGTGTTGCGCAAGAGCTTCCACAGCGTTTGGCTTCATTCTCTCCCACTAAGCCATTGTAGGCCCCATTCAGCTGTTTTTGTTCACTGATCCTCAGAGTATGTATGTCAATGACAGTGGAGTAGATGTCTCTCATATGTATGATTTTTGTCTCCTTGTCACGGTTTTCATGGAGCATGGCATTAGCACAAATGAAGATAAAGATCCCAATCCCCATGGTGAAAGGCCCCAGCATTTTCATCTTATCAGAGTGCAAATGCTGTTCGAGGAAACGAATTAAAATGCCACCTTCTTTTCCAGCGGCCTGTGTCTCATTAAGTGACAAGCTGTCTTCAGGCTCTAGAAAAGGGTCCTTTTGGGGCCAGTATCCTAGGATGGCCATAGCAATCCCCAGAAACGATATGAGCACCCCCAGGACAAGGAAGAATCCGGATGAGGAATAAAGTCGAATTTTGCCTCGGACCACAACAACATCTGCCCTGGGACGGGGTTTGGCAGGCTTCTGTTCTTCAGTGGCTGGTGATGCTGTGAGGTTTAGATGGTGCTGGGATCTGGCAGAATCTTGCCTTTTTAAGGCAGCCAGTCCTGTTATGACGCCCCCAGTTGCAATCATAATGGTATTGTTTTAAATCTAGATTTGGAAAGAAAAAAACACACAAAGTTACAATAAGCAGCACATAAGCAGCAGCATTTAAAGCATTTGAATTTTCAAATTTGTCATGTTTTTAACTTGCCTGATTATTTATTTTTTAAGAATAATTATAAAGTCTTCAGCATTCCCAAATAATCCCAAATAAGTGATGTACAAAACTGACACATCAATTGAAACAATTAAATCACAGGATGCAAATTCAGAACTACAAAGTGGCCAGTAATATATACACCTAAATATCACATCTTTAAGAAAGCTTGCATGATAAGCCATTTTAACACATTAATAGTACAAAAATTAGTGTTCAGTGATTTTATCATGTATGAAGTATTTGCATGATATCATATCATATAATTATAAAATATTATCTGAAAATCAATAAATCGATTTCAATACAGTGAAGAAATAACAGGAGCATCCAGGCTACAAACATTTCTGATGAGAAGCAACTTAACCTGGTCTAGACAAATGCAGAACTGAAGAGGTTTCATCTGTTGAATATGCATTCTTAGATGCCACTATCTGACAAAAAGAATTGCGAGGGTAATCCTGAATTAATTGCTTCTCAGGCTGTCAAAATTGAACAACGTAATCCAAATATCATCACATGCAGCAGAGCACTTAACAGATAATGCTTCGTACAAGAATCTCGTCTGATTCACAGATGGTGGGAACTGTCAACTTACCCAAACATGGGGGGTGGAGGAGGAAGGAAGGCACCCCTAGATTCAGAACCACACCCTTAAACATAAGATTGATGCTGTCAGAACACCAACTGTTTTCTGTGAACGTATACCAGACGCTAGATATGGGTTGTCATTCCTTTGACTCAGAGCCAGTCTGCAACATATATTTAACATTGCCTTTCCTGCATCAGAAAAGCATTTTGTTCTATAATAGCACACTCCTAATGTTACCAAGGCCTCATGCTATGGAATGACTGGGATGGGAACATCAGATTTCAGTAAACTGCTAAGACGTCTACAACTACCAGTGCTACTGCATCTATGGATTTATTTTTAAGAAACACAAGGAAACTCTCTTGCAGAGAGTTTTCTGTTTCTTGTAATATAATCAGTAATAGTTTAGAACCATGTGGTGATCTGAAACTGATTTATGATGCAAGCAAGTGTGTCTGTATTTCTATTAGTTTGTCATAGATATCCTATGTTTTAACTTTCTGAGACAACAGAGGCAAGAGAATAACTACACAGCTTTTTCTATATTCATTTCTTAAAAAGAAAAATGCTCTCCATTTTGACAATGTGGGGTATTGTGCATGATTCAAATAAAATGGTGAAGCAAAGAGGTGAATAAATGGTCTAGACTCCAGGACACCCTCTTCTGCTCACTATCATTTGCAAAATGACACAAAACAAGGGAAAACCCCACTCCAGTTAACTTTTTCTCACTCACATACAGAACAATTGTCAGGGCTGTTCTTTACCCTGTGAATGATAGTGAGCACAAGAGGGTGTCCTGTAGATCATATTGACAGCTGCCATTGATGTTGTCAACATTTAGACTGCCCTTTGCTATGTAAAGTTCGGCATCCTTTTTCCTGCTGGCAAGGAAGGCACAATATTGTGCAGCTACAACAGGCTATCTCCTGGCATTCTGAATCATGGATACAGAAGCATAATATCCCACATTCCTACAATGGTTGTTTTTAACAGAACTCAATTTCCTGGTTTTTCAAAAAGGGAAGTTTAAGTATTCATATACTACACACAAATTCCAAGAGAAACGTCCCTCATGTAGAATTACCCAGTGCTAGTGGATCCCAGAAAATGAGCACATCATCTATATAATGGCTACTGGGAGAGGACAGAAGCAAATACAGCAAGGATGTGCCTGCAGTTCCTCTCTGCCAAAATATTTTGAGGAGCTGTTTTTGGCCTTAATGTAATGGTGAAGCAAAGGTGTAAGTGTAAAACATATGATGGAGAAACATACACACCTTTTAACTTCTCAGGTAAACTAATGTTGCCATGCCTGGTCCACAGAATGCAGGTCTGAAAGCTATGTTCCAATTTCCAAACACTTTCCTTGGGGTAGGCACCCTGAAGAAGAAATATATATATCAGACCAAAAGTTCCATGAACATATTGTGTACATGTTTTTCAAAAGATGTCCCCTTCCTTTTAGAATCTTTTTTTTTAAAGGAGGGCTCAGAGTTGGCAAAGATTTTCACTGGAAACCAAGGACAACATCATCCATAATATGTAATAGAAAGACTGTGAAGAAAGCCGGGGTTGTGGTGGAATCAACTAATTTGAAATGAGGTGTCAAAACTGAACTTTCACTAGAGTAAAAATGAGTCAACTGAGGTTATCCTGCCATGCACATATAATGGAGAACTGACCAGAAAAGACAATATTCCTGGGGAAAGGGGGACAGTAGGAAAAGAGGAAGATCTAACGCAAGACAGATTGTCTTCAATAAAGGAAGTCATGCCCGTTAGTGCGGAAGACCAGAGAAGAACTTACTGGAAAAGACAATACTGCTAGAAAGGGCAGGGGACAATAGGAAGAGAGAACAAGCTAATATAAGATCATCATCATCATCATCATCGTAGAACTGCAGAACTAGAAGGAACCCTATGTATCATTGAGTTCAGCCTGCTGTTGGTTTGCAAGATCTGTTAATGATATGACATTCTGGAGGTCATTAACTCATATTGTTACCACACCAGAAATGACTTGATAGCACATAACATCTTTGGTTTTTTTTTTCTTTTTCAGACAATTGTATAGTGTCAAGATGGGTTGAATGGTTGAAATTATAACAAGATAAAGTCACTACAGCTCTGCTAACATCAATTAAGATTATCCCTAGCCACAAAGCAAAAAAGCAGTAATTTCCAAAGTTAAATGAATGAGTTTCTAGAGGGAAACATACATCATCATCTGAAGAATAGATGTATACAAATAAATGTATATGTATATTGGTGGATGTGTTTTTATAGACATACATATTTTACAAATATCATCATAATGGAGAGGTTGATATCAATTCAGGTGCCTATTTAGATCCTTATCCATTATGCACATGGAATTTTGTTTTGTACATGGATACCTCTGTGGATTTGATTTCTCTTTACCTAGTTCTTCAACTATACCAGCCAAATGCCCAAGACTGATAACTGATTCCTAATTTCATAAGAACATTAGGCTTTACTTATATGCACAGCCAGCTTTTACATGGGTTCATGGCTGCTCATATAAACAGCAGGAATGGTCAGGCATGTAAATATGACTAGTGTTGTACACTAGGACATCTCAATTCAAATCTCCATTCAGCCATAAAACTCACTGAGTGTTCTTCAGGCAACCATATTCTCTAACCTGACTCGCCTCACAGGGGTGTTATAAGGATAAAACAGGAAGATGGAGAGTCATTCACACCACCTTAAGCTCACTGAAGGAAAGGCAGGTTAAACACATAACCAACTAAGCAACCAAGCAACCAATAAATAAAAGAAAGGTGTGGGCTTTTCCCTATGACTGGAATCATCTTTCCCCCCTGGGCGTTCACAGGGGAGATTATATAATATATATTATTTTCAAATACCCAGAGAAAACATACAGACAGACACAGACGGACACAGAATCAAGATTTAGAAGAGAATTGCCATTCATGAAGACTTCTAAGCCCAGTATTCCCCTTTTTGAGAGAGAGAGAGAGAGAGAGAGAGAGAGAGAGAGAGAGAGAGAGAGAGAGAGAGAGAGTGTAGTACAGTGGTGCCTCGCTAGACCATGATAATCCGTACCACTGAAATCGCTGTTTAGCGAAATCATTGTCTAGAGAAAAGCATTTCCCCATTGGAATGCATTGAAACCTGTTTAATGCGTTCCAATGGGGAAGAATCGTCGTTGTCTAGCGAAGATCAGCCATAGGAAAGCCACTTTGCGAACTGCCGACCAGTTGTTTAAATCGCTGTCTTGCGAAGCTTAGGTCCCGAAACCACCTGTTTGCGAGCGCGGAGGGAGCTATCAAAATCATCGTCTAGCAAAAATTGGTTTGCGAAGCAGGGAACCAAACATTGTCCAGCGAAATTCCCTCATTGGAATCACTGTTTTGCAAATCACTATAGCAATCTAAAAAGTCAATGTCTAGCGAAAAAACTGTTGTGCGGGGTAGCTGTCTATCGAGGCACCACTGTATACAATTTGGTTTTAGCTTACAATAAAATTGTTACTTTGTTTTTCATAGATATAAAACAATAATGAGAAGCAATTTAACATTAGCAGATGAAGTAAATTGGCTACTGTAATACTCTTAATGGCCTCTTCATTCTGTCCAACTACCTAACTTGCAGAAATGAGCCTCCAGTTAACTTAAGAAAACAGTTTAATGTCCATACGGGGACAATGTATTGAAAATACATTTTGTTTGCCGACAACTAATTAAAACTGAGATTTACATTCACAATGTTTCAAATTTATATGGCCATTTATCTGTGAGATGAGTTACAAAACAACCCGGATAATTTATATTTGCTTACAAAAAGCCAATGAAATCTTTCCAAGGGTTCTTAAAAGAACCCACCATTATCATATTTGTCACAATGGCGTATTGGGTTGGATCAAGAGTTTGCTTCTAACAGCAAGAGCATTTCTTGAGCAGAAATCATCTCAGAATACTCTCAATGGTAGAAGGGCAGGGGAACAGTGTTTGCCAAATTTCCCACTCCCTGTACAAGCCCCCAGGGTCATTCCACTCTTCTGGAAAGGCTTTAACCCTCACAGCAGACTGTGAGATACAGTGAGCTAGAGGAAGAGAGAGAAAAATCAACAAAACTGCCTCCCACCTCTTTCTACCAGCACAGTTCTCCCACTGGCTTAAAAACATTCTGTACGCTTAAGGATCCCTTGTGTCCAAAGGGTACAAAATTTGTATCGAATCCACTGTGTCCAAGTACAGTATGTATGGATCATATCACTTATACATCAGCCAGTTTGAAGGATGAAGCTGTAGTGTTACTGTTTCATTCCACAATTCACATTCATAGAGATTCTACAGAAGTGAGTGGAGTGTATTTGTGCATATGGCTGCCCCATATACACATCAGATATGGAAAGTCCACACACTCCATCGCAGTTCACATAATGCTGGGAAATTCTTCTGCAGATACTTCTTTCAAATCTACTCTTGCTTGACTCCCATTGATCTCAATGGCAGAAGTGCACAGATATTACTACTGAATGTTTTCAAAACCTGGCATCTCCCACTCCAGTTTTAAGAGCTGATAGAATCTGGCACCTCCTGCTTGGACAGGTGCATCACAACTTATTAGGAAGAGTCCAGTTGCAGGGAGAAAACTTAGAAGCTCTTTAGAAGTCCATATTGGACACAACAGCATTCCAACATTAAATTTTAAAATATGCAGCTTAAAAAAAGCAAACAAGGAAATACTGGAACAGATTCTCTGTAAAAGGTGATTGAATAATTAATTCAGTTCTAGATAATGTGTAGAGATAACTATTTTGTCCTTAGACTATAGCAAAACCCCCTCATTTATGTATGTATGTATGTATGTATGTATGTATGTATGTATGTATGTATGTATGTATGTATGTATGTATGTATGTATGTATGTATGTATGTATGTATGTATGTATGTATGTATGTATGTATGTATGTATGTATGTATGTATGTATGTATGTATGTATTATTTATTTATTTATTTATTTATTTATATATATGTACCCCACCTATCTAGTCAAACGACCACTCTAGGTGGCTAGAGCTGGCCTAATCAGATCCATTTTAAACTAGATAAGTTTTAACCCTAAAATTTTATAAAGCAGACTCTATATCTGGTTAAATGGTTGTAAAGTGAGCTACTATGAGTCAAACCCTATATTTGTTGCAGAGTTTTGAATTTATGGTTACATTTCTCTAGCTGTGCAGCAGAAGTGCAAAGATTCATAGAGCAGAATAGCTTCAAGTTCCCCAAAGTAGTCCACCTCTTTTCTCATTAACTGGCACTTACAGTCTGAGTAACTCACTCTGAGACAAAAAAGGCAAAGTGTGTTGCTTATACACCACCCTATAGTGCTTGAACCACTCTCTGGCCAGTTTACAAGTTAATTATGCAGACTACACATTGCCTCCCCACAGTGAGCTGGGTACTCATTTTACCCACATCAGAAGGATAGAAGGCTGAGTCAACCTTGAGCCGGCTACTTAGAACTGAACCCCAGGTCAGGAGCACAGTGTTGGCTGCAGTACAGCAGCTTAACCACTGCGCCATCAGGCTCATTTTAGTAGTAGAATGATGTTAGTAGTAGAATGAATAAAAACAATTTTTTTTACTTATTGCTCTGAACAGATCAAACAGCAAACTGATCAACATGGCTGCCTTCAATGACAGACTTCAGCAGACTGAGGAGAGGGAAAGAGACACAGAACAGAGAGGCAGGACTCTCTTTGAATTCAGAGGCAGGGAAGGATCGATTGATTAGTGCTGAATAGACTGACAGTCACGCCACCCCAGAAAGTTCCCCCCCAAGCCAAACCTACTAAAGGCAGCATGCGGGGTTGTAAAAATATATATATATTTCCCCATTAGCTCAAACCAAAGCTTAAACAGGGCTTTGGTTCCTGGAGAATGTTCATGCATGATAAATGTAACCTCCGCTGTCTTTTCCTTCACACCTCCTCTGTTTTGCTCACTTCCTGGGGGCTCTTCTCTGACCTCTGCTTTCTTCTCAGTTCTCCCTCATAACTCCTTTCTCTAGCTTGCTTGCTGGGTACACTCTATGACCTCTGCCTTCTTCTCGCTTGTTATTCTCAACCCTATTCTCCTTCTTGGCAGCTGAGTGCTTCCTCCTGACCTCTGTCATCTTCTCTTTTCTCCCTGCCACCTCTGCTGTCTTGCTGTCATACTTGGTGATGCAGACATAGCAGTTTGCACTGCTGGCCACAGTGGTCTTAAAAGTGACTTCCACATGCTAGGGAGGGGAATTAGGTGACATCAGAATAGTTTTTAAAGCAGGGAGTGGTTCAAGCAAGTGTTTGTAAGTCAGGAGACAGACAACACCGGTAGGGGAG